CCCTCGCGGCGCTGCATAGCAGCATAAACCTGGCCTGGCTCGAAGCTGCTAGAACGGTCGAGACCCGGCGACAGCAGCAGCAGCAGCAGCAGCAGCGGGGGCTAACGGAACCGATGGCAGCGGCAACGGAAGGGGAGGAGGCTGTCATACCGTCACCAGCACCACTGCTGACCAGCATGCAAGCGATGGGTATGATTGCTGGGCGAATTGGGTGGCGTATACCTGGGATGGCGGAGGCCATCCCGCTGGCACGCCTCACGGTTCGCCTGGCGACACAGCTGCAATGTGGGCCTATGGAGGAGAAGAGAAGACGCCTGGTAGCTGAATTTGTGCGGGAGGCGACGGATCCTCAGGGCCCGTCGCCGCCGCCCCCGTCGGAAATCAGCCTATTCAGGGCGACGCAGGCCCGCGTATGGTCCGGGGTACGATGGGAGAATGAGAATAAGGAGACGTTATGGCGGCTCGCAGTGGATGGCGTCCCCCTACCGGGCAACACGCACCTAGCCCGCATGACTCCAGAACGCTGTGGATGTGGCGGATTCGGTGGAGCAGCTGGTCAGCCATGCTCGCCACGCATGCATCACTTTTGGGAATGCCCGGTGGTGCAGGCGGTGCGGGCACAGATCGACCGGCATCTACAGTCTTCCCAGGAAGCGGCGGTAGGGGGAGTCACCCGAAAGCAACTCTGGCTATTACTGGCCCCAACCGGATGCGAACAGGCCGTATGGGATATAATCGCCCTGTCGGCCCTGTCTGCCATGGAGGTTGGCAGATGCTGCCTGAGGGCAGCGGGCAGGAGGCAGGAACGAGCTGGGAGCCAAGGACCACAGAACCGGGAGCACACGCAGCAGGTGCAGGTACCCGGCCCCAGGCAGAGGCGGATAACGGACTTTTTCATCCAGGCCGACGGGGCGGGACCGCAGACGGGGCCTGCACTGAACGCGCCGGGGGATGAGGACCAAACGCAGGAGCGGAACATGGCGACAGGGGCGGTAGCAGCAACAGCAGGCGCGGCGGCAGCGGCACCCGCAGCAACCCCTTGGAGCGGCCCGCGCCCGGGCAGTGGTGACTTCTGGGCGCGCCTGCGCTCCTTCACGGCGCTGGGCACCCGCGGAGAGGCTGGACGGGGTGGGACCCGATCACCCGATCCTGTCGTTTTCAGAAGGCGCACTGCGGTGCGCCGAAGCGGTGGAAATTATTGCCTAAGAGCGCTTTGAGCTTAGTTTGTAGGGCAGGGCTCGGGGGGGTATAGGAGTTCGAAGGGGATGGGGGTTGGAGGACAAGGGAATAGGTGAAAGGGAACCCCGAGACGGGAGAGGGAGAGGAGAAGGACGGGGAATGGAGGCGGTCACGTCGTGCAGGGAAGAACCCTTTTTCTTCCCTAGTGCCGCTCTGAGGTTGTAGGGGGCTGGAGAGCCGGGGGGAGGTGGGGTCGCTCGGACAGGGGAGGGGGGAGATGGCGGTGAGAGCGCCAAAAGGACGGAGGTTTTCTGGTGTTTGGGAGGTTGAGGTCTGGTGGTGGTAGCGGGGCTCGGATGAGGGGGAGATGTGGCCCGAGGAGGGCCATTCTATTTAGACACGTTTTCTCTGTGGGACTGGGTTGCTTGGTGAGGGACGAGGGTGAGAACGGTGCAGTACGAGACAGGGTGAATAGGTTTCCGGAGGACCAACCGTTCAGGTTAGTGGCGGTAAGGGGGAGGCGCCGCGCGGGCTACAATCCTCCCCCTGCGGTTTTCTGGAGGGTCTAGGAGCTGTGTGTCGTGGCAACGCTAACGCTTTTGTGGTTTCGCCGGACTATCCCGGGCCCCTGCAGTGGTGATCAGGCTTGGGCGGGATCCCTCTTCTTTATATGGCTACTTCTCCCCTGGACCAGCCCAGGAAGGGACAGGTGGTGGAGGTCAGTTGTTTTAAGGTGGTTGCAAGACGTCTTGTGGTGTCGAGCTCTCTTAGCCTTTCTCTCTTGGAGGTTTTTTTTGTTGGCCTGTTAGGTATATCAGGAGCCCTCCCCTGCCGGGACTGCCCTAACCGATTTTTTGTTTGTTTGTTTGTTTTCCCTTCGAATCCCGTTTTCGTTGGTGGTGTTTTAGGGGGTTGTTTCAGAGAGCCTTTGTCTTTGCCCTAGCTGAGACTTGTGGACCCGCTCTAGCGGGACCTGAGAGCCCTTCGTGGTGTATTCAATGCAGCGCCATCCCCGGATGGAGGGGCTGCGGAGTGGCTGCGTAGAGTGTTGGCAGTCTGAGTCGGGGTCGGGAGCACACAAGACTAACCGACTTGTGCTGTGTGCTCCCGACCCTTGCGCTGTGTTTCGGCTTCGGCCCCGGCTCTTGCAGCCCACAGTGTAATCTAAGTCATACATACATACATACATACATACATACATACATACATACATACATACATACATACATACATACATACATACATACATACATACATACATACATACATACATACATACATACATACATACATACATACATACATACATACATACATACATACATACATACATACATACATACATACATACATACATACATACATACATACATACATACATACATACATACATACATACATACATACATACATACATACATACATACATGTATGGATGAGACCAAGCTTGACTAAGCTGCTACTATGACCGTCGGCCAACCGCGGCCGTGGCCACCGACAGCGACCTCAATTGTTGAG